AGGATTATCTAAAAGATGATTATAAAAATGATTAGTAGAAATTACTTGGTTATAATGTTTTTCACAAATTGAGTGCAAATACAAATAAAGTTTAAGTTCAGGCATATAATCCACATATGATTTAAGCTGAATAGTGGTGGTTAGTGTATTAGCATGTCTCCAGGTTTGTGATTCCTTCGTTTCACAGGGTCTTAAGCCAAGTCTACTATACTTATTAGCTATTAAGCTAAACACACAAGAAAGATCTTTGGCTCTTGGCTTCTCTACAGCTGATGAAAGATGCGACATCATTGTGGAGCTTTTATACAAGCATTTTAATAAAAAAAAGAGAAGAAATTAATATGTTGTAACAAAATTTAAATGTGTATTCTTCATTATTTCGGGTCTCATTTACCTTTTCAAAAAATGTTGATTACCGAAAAATAACGACTGATTATGTAACTAGAAGTTTTCGACTTTCTTTTTGAATATCGACTTGTCAAGGTTTGATATTATGAACGCCCTAAATTCCAGAATTAGTTAGCAGTAGTAGTAATTATCATTATCCAATCATAGTGCAGGGAATTTTTGAAGATCATTCTAGATGCATTCTAGAACCGATCTTCAAATTTACTATATTCCCTGACTGTATTAGATTTAGACGCAGCCATAAGCATTATATCGAAATACTTACTAGATAAACTAGGATTAGGGATAGATAATAAATTTATCACTATAGTAGTAATGGGCATGGGAGCAAAAGCCAAAACACTTAGAAAAATTAAGGATGTTAGATTAATCATTCAAAATGTCGTAGTACCCATAACTCTACATGTAATTAATTCTTGGATGATACTTTACTACTGGGAACAGACTGGTTCCAGAAAACTAAAGCTCGTATATATTTTGACGAGCAGAAACTATACTTACAATATGCTGATAGATCAGCAATATTCCAATTTCTAATAAAGGTATCGAAGGTCTTAATCCCTATGAAGATGAAGTAACAGCAGGGATACTTTCGACAAATTTGACTATGAGGAAGAAGAATTTGAGGAAGAAAACATTGAAAGTTAACACCTAGAAGAAAATCTTGCATTATACCTCACAAATATTGAAGAGGTACTAACAAAGAAAAATGAAGAGGATGAAGACAAAGAAAAATCTATAGAAGAAATAATTAAAGAAAAGGTCAATAATAATGAATTAACAACACAACAAAAATTAAAGATTCAAGAATTTCTACTTAACAAAATAAAAATGTTTGCACAAGGTCTCAAAGATTTTAGGGTGTACTAATGTTATCACGCATTTTGTTAGTATAGGTAACGACGCTCCAATTAAGCAAAGTTATTATTGTGCTGTTTATGAAGAAAATGAATTTATAAAAAAAGAAATAAACAAATTAAAGAAGCAAGGACTTATAGTAGAAATAATTAGTCCTTGGGCATCTCCGGTAGTAATAGTACCAAAGAAAAACAGAAAACTATACTTCTGCATAGACTACTGAAAATTAAATTTGGTTACTAAAAAGGATACATATCCTCTTCCACATATTAATGACCTTCTAGACACGTTTGGAATGGCAATATAGTTTTCCACTCTTGATCTAATGAGTGAATATTGGCAGGTTAGAGTAAATGAAGCAGATTTAGAAAAAACAACATTTATAACGAAATATGGTACTTATACATTTAAAGTCATGCCTTTTGGACTTTGTAATGCTCCAGGAACATTTCAAAGACTTATGGACCAGATACTTGGTGACAGTAATGGCACCTTTGCCATTGCATATCTTGATGATATTAATATATACTCTAGCTCATTCGAAGAACATTTAGTATACTTAAAAATTATATTAGATAAATTAAGAGATACAGGATTAAAATTAAATTCTGAAAAATATACCTTTTTTAAATCTGAGATACATTATCTGGGACATATAATAAATAAGGAGGGGGTAAGATCTAATAAAACAAAAATTGAAAAAGTAAAGAATTTTTTTGTACTAGCGAATCTTCAACAATTGAGAGGATTTATTGAATTAGCCTTATATTATCGCCGATTTATTAAGAGATTTGCAACAATAGCCTGACCCCTTCATAAATTACTAGAGAAAAACATTCCCTATAAATGGAAGGAAGATCAACAAAATGCCTTTAAAACATTAAAAAGACATTTAATGATGGCACCTATTTTAAGGTACCCAAATTTTAAAGAAGAATTTTACCTACACACTGATGCGTCCGGTATAGGTTTAGGAGCTATACTAGCTCAAAAAGATAAAGACTACAAGAAATATGTAGTAGTTTATGTAAGCAGAGGACTCTCCAAAACTGAATGTAATTACTCAGCCCCAGAAGTAGAGTGTTTAGCTGTTGTGTGGGCTGTAGAACACTTCTATTATTATTTAGGAGCTAAACATTTTAACTTGATAACTAACCATGCTGCTCTTAAATGGCTCCATACATTAGAACCAAAAGAAAAAAGAGCCCATTGGATTTTGAGATGGCAGCCTTATAATTATTCAATCATATACCATGCCAGAAGAAAACATTCAAATGTTGATACACTATCAAGAATGTATCAAAGAGAAAATAATTAAAAATTAAAAAAATTTGAACCTAAGAAAAGTTAAAAAAAAAATCAAACAAAATTAGAACTAAAAGGAATTTATAAATAAAGATATTAAATTATTAAGAACTTTAATTGAAATTTAACAAACCCATAATTTAAAACTCTTATAACTAATTAAAAAAAATTACACTAACAGACTAAATATTAAAAAAAAAAAAAAAAAAGGTACTCTGCCTGTAAGTCGTGTATTAAGCCTGGTACCGGCAGAGCTTATGCTAAAATAGGTACTACGTGAAAATTGAGAGTGTGTTCAGATCTATAATACATGTATCAAGCCTGGTACTGGCGGGTTAGCTACTATAAATAAGTACTGCGGGAGATTGAATCTGATTAGTGTAATTAAAAAGATTAGTAAAAAGGTTTAAAATTAAGTAATAGAAGAAATCTAAAGAAACTAAATAATCCAGAAGAAAAGAATCTACAAGATTTTTAACAAAATCTGACATTAAAATTAATCTAGTCCAGGTAGTCGGTGTCCTGGCAAAATCAGGATGGAACCACTTAGATATCAATTATTAAAGGCATATTTAACAGAACACACATTACCTCATAAGATAACTCCACAAGAACGATAAAGTATTCAATCTCAAAGCCAATTCTTTGTAGTAAAAAATGAGTTAATATACAAAAAAGACAAACATAAGATTAACTATTTACTAAAAGTAATCCAAAGTTACGAAGTTGAACCCATCCTATTTTTAGTCTATACTCACCTATTAGGAGGACATCTCGGTATAGATATAATGTTTAATAAAATTAGGGCTAAGTATTATTGGCTACAGATGTATGCCGATATCTGATGATTCGTTCACACCTGTGATTTCTGTCAAAGAAGAAGCAAGAATTTAGCAAAGCCTCCATTGTATCCAATTCCGGTCAAAGCTCTATTTTATAAAATTGGAATTGACATTGTTAAAAAATTATTTGTAACTTCTAAAGGTAATAGGTACATAGTAGTCACTACAGACTACATGACCAAATGGCCTGAAGCAAGAGCAATCAAGAATGCCAATGCCCAAGAAGTAGCCGACTTTATTTATAAAGACATCGTGTACCAACATAGATGTTCACAATACCTCCTATCTGATCAAGGAACACATTTTCGCAATAATCTAATGGATAAATTTTTAAAGAAATTTACCATTACTCACTATTACTCGACGCCCTATCATCTACAAACAAATGGATTAGTGGAATAATTTAATAAGACTCTTTGTGAATCCATATCTAAGTTAATTACCAATATAAGAAAATGGGATTCAATTATACCTTCAGTACTCTTTGCATATCGAACTGCCAAATATAATATGACGAAAATAACTCTGTTCTTCTTAGTATATAGTAAAGAAGCAAGGTTTCTAATCCATCCTAGTGATACTGAAGAAGAAGTATTAGAAGGAACATTCTTACAAAGACTATTCAAATTAATTGAAATATTATCTGAAACAAGGAACGATACTATTAAACGAGTTGAAAAAACACAAGAAAGTGCTAAAATAAGGCATGATCATAACTTACCAACTATAGAAGAAATAAAAAGAGGAGACCAAGTATTAGTATACGAGGCTTTTTAACAATATTCTAAATGTTATAAGTTATATCTGAAGTGAAAGGGTCCTTTCGTCATTCATAAGGTGTTAGAGAAGGGTGTGTTTAAACTTTTGATTTGTTGATGGAAAAATTATCAAAACTCCTATAAATAGAAAATTATTAAAGAAATACTATTCTAAATAAGAAAAATTGAAAGAAAGAGAAAGAGCGAAAAAGGATATGAATTAACTCAAAATTACTATTTTAAATGAACAATATAATGTGATAACATAATGATCGTCATTAACAATAAGATTGTATTTTTTTTTTATATTAATTAAATAAACTATATATTATATATTAATGAGTTAAATATATTAATATAAGAATCGACAAGTAAATAATTGTATTAAAGAAATTAACTTAAAGCCGCAGCATATAAAGATATTTGAATGGATTCTTTTAAATAAATTAGATAATATTCAGAAAATTATAGAAAGAAGATTTAAATCAGTAATTTTTCATCAATGTAATATGAGAAAAGTAGATCTAAATTATGCTTATAATTAAGACATTACTGATTCACAAAATAACTTTTAAGAAAGTCATATGGAAAGTAGAATAACAGACAATTAAAAGAAGTTTTATAAGTTTTTATAATCAAATTTAAGAGAACTTAATTCAGAAAAAAAAGCAAATTATCGATATATTGAAAAATTTAATTCGTGAATCAAAATATGTTCATGAAAATTTTCATAGTAACAATATATTGCTAAATCAATATATTAATGGCGATATTATATCATATATTAGAGACCTAGGATTATTTAGAAAGAAAGATGAATTTAATTATTTGTGATATTTTACCTTACATTGCTCCGAAGTGTTCATAAAACAACCATATATGATAGCAACAGATATTATAATTTTGGTGTTATGACTGAAATGTCTACAAGAAGACAACCTTATTATGATAATGTATGTGATGAAGTGTGGGCTATTCAAATACTATATACAATGGATTATGTTCTAAGTTTGATGAAGACACTTCCGATTGATATATCAAATTAGCAGTTTAATTTGTATTGATAAAATTCTTTTTAATAGATCTGATATCTATTATCAAGATGGTATACAATGATAAACTTATAATAATTATGAACTTAAAAGAGTCAACTAAAGTAATATAAAGAGTAAAATAATCATAGAAAAATAGACTTCGAATTGAATTACGTAAAATAAAATAGTGTCAATGCACTTGGATAAAATTTTTAAACTGGAACAGAAAATCTTAAAGACTTATTGATATAAGTATTTAAATTAATATATCTAAGACGAAGTAGATTGAAAAGATAATAATGAGAAATAGCTTAAAATTATTTTTTATTAATTCCAAATTTGAAATAATATTAACCGATAAGAGATTTAATTCTATAAGAAGATACATTACACATAACGAAGATCGTATTTAAATGAAAATGAATACAAATTTATTCACGAATTGAATAAATATTTTGAACTTAAAAACAAGAATTCAACGTTTTGGATATTATGAAGTAATATTTTTATCACTAAAGGATCATTATATTGAATCTAATATGAATATATTCAAAAGATAAATTCAAATTATACCTGTTTTGAATTCGATTATAATATAATTCTGGAAAAATTATTTAAAGCGAAGGAGTAGTATATAAGGATTATAATTTAAATTTTTTTTTTTTCTTTCATAATATATTTTTTTTTTACTAATAAAATTTTGAGAATTTAAATTTAAATTAGTTAGGAGTTTGATATAATTTAAAAGAAGATTTAAAATTAATAAAAAGAAAAATACTAAAAGATAAAAATTTATTATAATATATATTTAACCAGTAATACAAAGAAAAATAAAAAAATCTAGTCCTTCCACATATAATCCTCATCTATATTCTTCTCCCAATACTGCATACTACTCTTACCAATTTCATCATCTAACACCATCAGAAAACTACTACTATCCTCTTCACTTGCTGACTCTTCTTCTAATATCGCCTCATATTTTCTCAACTCCTCATTTAACCAAACTTCATAGTTTTTTTTTTTTTTTCTTCTTCTTCTTCTTCAATTTCTTCTTCATCATCTTCATAATCTTCTTCTTCTTCTTCTTTATCTCTACCAAATTCTTCTAAATCATATCTTTCTCTTATTCTTTGTCTCTCCCTACCTCTTTCTTTTCTTCTATCTATTGTACCTAACACCTCAATTATATCGTTCCTCAATACATTATACCCCAACTCAAATTTCTTTTTTGCTACATGCAACATCTCATATTTTTTATGTTCATCTTGCAATATCTCTCTTAATACCTCCAATCTAAATTCTCCTGATTCTATCACTTCATCCAACATCTTCTCCAATCTAAATTTTTCTGATTCTATCACTTTATCCAATATCTTCTCCAATCTTCTATTTTTTTTTTCCAAATACAAAATCTTATTCTTCTTCATTTTCTCCAAAACCCATCTACTCTACCTATTAAATTTAATTATTTTTAGTATCTTGTTATATTAAATTATAGTATTTAAAAATTTATTATTATTATATTTACTAGTCTTTCTCTACATTCTCTACACTTTCAACATCTTCAACATCTTCTACTACTTCTTTTTGCTTACCCTTATCTTATTTCTTACTATTATGCATAAATTATATTAGTTACTATTATAATTTTATTTAATTATTATATTCTTACTTTTGTCTCTTTGGGTGTTTCTTATCATTTCCTTTTTGTGAACGAGGCATTTTGGTTTAATTTTTTTTTATGAAAAAGATTTTTAGTTTTAATTTTTTTTAGATCAAAAATTAGTTTACGAAGATAGTCAAATCTATAATTTAAAGTTTAGATCACATGAAGAAAAATTTTACGATTGGATAATCAAGTTATACAAATAATTTTTTAAGAAGTTAATTTTTGAAAATTGGTAATAATTCTGATGTAGACTACTGGTTAGGATATTCACTCTGGCAGCAAAGTAACCTGGGTTCGATACCAGTAAGCGGAGCTAACCTTCTTTGAGTACTGATCTCATAGGGAATATGGATGGCCACTCAGAGGATGAAATATCAGAATGAGAATATTTTTAGTTAGTTTATTGTTTTATTATTATTATGTACTTATACTATATTTTTAGTTAGATATTTATGCATGGTATGCATAAAATAGGTCTTGGCAAATGTCACAGGCTAAATGGAAAATTGACAAATTGGCGTAGCAAACTCATGACTTCAAGCAGATTGATCATTATAATTTCAGATTGACTAGTATATGAGGCTTACTGGCTAAATAATAGAAAGATAACCTACATGAAATCTGATGAAGAATCCAAGAAGAATTTCAAGAAGAACAAATGAAAATCTAAAGAGAAGAAAAACAAGAATCAAGAAATAATTAGAAATAGATGTAATAGAAAATGTTGTAAAGGCAAAGCCTTTATCATTATAATCATGTTGTACTTATCTTTATAAGCCCCTTTAGTTATAGTGATCTTTTCCTTAATCTTTTATGATGAAAGATCTGATTTACCCTAAGCTTTTAGAATCTATTAGTATAGTGAAAGTTATATAAACTCTGTATTTTCCCTCTTGTAAAGACATCTTATCCTACGGGATTATGATATTTCTAACATATAACATTGAATAAATCACCTTGATAATATCATTTTAGAACTAAACTATTGCTAAATCACCATCGTCACACCTCTAGCAAGTTGCCTTATCATCTAAAATTATATATTTTTGTATTTATCATATCAAAGAATACGATTTACCCCATAACACTAATAAGAATTAGTCTCGATATCTATATCAAACGTGTAGAAAGCCATCAGGTAGTTCCTTGCCAAATTCTAGCATGCTAAAATCATTTAGTTTTTATTCTTTTTGTCTTTAATTACAATTAATACATTAGTATTTTATGTTAATTTTTTAACCAGTATAGAGAATCGATTCTAGCACTTCTTTTATCAACCACAAAGATGCAGGATGAGGGTCTACCTGCCCGTTGGGCTGGGGCTAGTCTGTATCACTAAGCAAAATGTAGCTAATAAATTTTAGCCAATTAGAACAAGTCTATGACAAAAAAAGGTGGGTTCAACCTTTTTTTTTCAGTAATGAACCACTTACCGGTTAAACTATTTTCCACAAATTAGAAATTAAGCTTCAATTTATTAATTACGGTGCTTGAAAGAATTTTAAATCAATACAAATAAAAATTTAAATGAGAAATTAATTAATATATTGATTGATAATTTTCAGTTGATTAAATAATAAAAAATTTCATGTGAAAATCTGATATTATATAACAAAGAGTATTGTAGACCAATTTCAGCCTATTAAAGATTTTTAGAGATGATGCTTGTATGGCTTCTTAAATATTATATTGCCTTAAAATCATTATTACTGTAACTACGTAATAATATTTATACAATGTTACTGCAGTACTGTATTGGTACAGTAATCTACCATAGTTTGAGTCATAGATCAAGTCATGCTCTAGCTATAACACAAGTCGTGGCTTCAATAACTATGGCTTAATCTAGAGCTATAGCTTTAAAAGCCTATTTAGTTGCAGCTAAAACCGGCTCTGAAGATTATCTGAAGAGTTGACAATAAATCCGTATTTGGTTAGTTCAATTCCGAAGGACAATAATAAAACAACGCATTGATCGTCATTTACTTTAATTGAGACAACACCTGTTAAAGCAATAAAAAATATAAGTTGAATGTTCATTATGATTAAACAAATCTCATACTATGTGATGAAATATCGTGAAGTTTAAGTGCAGAATTTCATGTTTTATTGCATTTAACGCATTATCTAATCAGTTACGAGAGCACATCACTAAAAATGCCATAGTAAACCATATACTTCGTAATATTCTGTTTCTGATATATGCCCTTTCTAGTTTTTGGAAATGCTAAACCAAATTTGGAGATTATCAATTTGACATTTGTATCTAAAACAGACCGCGTACGTATGTACGTACATACAACAGTATATGTATGATGATCGAGAATATTGAAATAGATCATAATATCATAAGGCTGTGCCTTAACATTTTTGATTTAAAAACAATCAGGTGATGAATTATGCATACTGTTAAATTTACTTGGTTATCTGTATGAATAAATCATGTATTCTAACTGGTTAAAAACTTATAGCCATGATCATTTGCACCATTGTCAATTCTGTAATATTGTGATATTTCGAATATTTGCATGATTAATGTAGTAATATTATTGCCATATATTCGTAATCAATTTATGAATTAATAATTTATATGTATTGCAAATCAAGGATACAGAAATAACGGTTTACCAATTTCTCCCCCACTTCCACAGGTCAAAAAAAATTAAATCAGAAAAATATCAGAAATATCAGGTTCAAATTTTTGGCACCCATCATAACAACAATATCGGAAAGCTATTAGAGCTGATATGTGTTTGATAGCTTACTGATAGCACTATTAGCATCTGATATGTCTCTGTTGTTGTCATTATGGGCGCCAAAACTCAACAAAAATTAGAACCTGATATTTCTATGATATTTTTCTGATCTGCTTTTTTTCGAACTGTGTTCCCATTGAACAAATACAAATATTATTTATTGGAGAAAACCAATTACATCACTGATCAGGGTGGCTAAAAATTTCACATGGCTATCTAATGCGCTACAATCTTATCTTATATCTTATATATATATATTACGTTAAAGCTCATTGTCCGTCCGTCAACATCAGCCAATCATAACTCTCCATTTCAATCATCAAAATTACTATAAGTTTAGTAATAATAAGAAAATAATTTTGATAACAACCAATATATGGGGTCTTTGCCCCAAACTTGACCTTAAGGGACTATGTAGATTTTATAAATAAAAATTAAAATTTCTAGCTATCCAGTAATCCAATTCAAATAAACTTTTTTTTTTATTTTGTAGAGCTTAGCGAGTTCTATAAAATAAAATAAAAATTTATTTGTATTGGATTATTAGATGGCTAGAAAATTTAATTTTAATTAATAAAATCTACATAGTACCATAAGGTCATTTTCAAGGCAAAGACCCCAGCATTTAAAAAAAACATAAGAAATTTGAGCTATTCTCAATTCGCTAAAAACTATTCACTGTTTTTACTAGGATCACAATCTTTAATGCGAAAATTATTATAATAAAACTACGTGAAGTACAAACATTGTACTTTATTATTACTGTTGTAAATATTTATGCATGTTCGATCAAATTTAATTTAAAATTTATATATAAGTTGACTTTTATTGTACAGGCATGTTTATTTTTATCATTTATTAAAATATATTATCTAGCCAACAAGAAATATATGGGCACTTTTCAATAAAAGAGGATAGATCTCCTTTTTAGATCTGATCAACATTTTGAGAAAATCACGTTTTTGTTTTTGTGATCAAAACAATGATCGATACTGATCAACCAGTCCGAACCAAATTGGGCTAAACTCATGTGATCGGAACTGTTGTCCGATTTATTCCAAAATTAAAACTACGTATCAGTTTTAATATTCACATTTATCAAGTATATTTAAATCAAAAATTATTTAATGCTTATTAATTCAACAATATAGATATTTATAGTGATAAATATTATAGCTAAAATGAGCACTCTAAACACTCCGCTTAGGCCGGTCAAAGTTAATTTTTTGGTTAATATCACCCTCTCCTTTGATGTCTCCCGGTAAAATGATCATATAAAAAATAAAAAATAATTTAAAATAAATTAAAATAAAATAATTTAAAAATCAAATTAAATAATTTAAAATAAAATAATTTAAATTAAATCAAAATAAATTAAATTAAAGTTTAAACCCGCGGCTTTTATGGTCCCGGCTAATTAAATAAAAAAACAAACTTTTTTTTTAAAAAAAATGAGAAAAAAGGATATTTAATAAAAAATAAAGCTAAAATTTTTAGTTCTTACTTGGTTGTTCTCTCATATATGCTTATTTCAGTTTGTGATAAAACAATTTAAGAAAAACTGCTGAAAAAAGAGCTTCCAAAGTGTTATTTTTTAAGCCATCCGATCAGTGATTTATTTCATTCAATAAGAGACAAAATTTGTAGGAACTTGGGGGATTAGTAAACCCAAAATTCCGATCTGTAATTGCTGCATACATACTTTAAAAAATGATGCAGATCTGATCACTAAATCACGAGAGTTTTGGCTGTAAAAATTGTACGTACGTATGAAGTTCTTTTTCTCAGATGAATGCATTATGTAATTAATTATTTTTGCCCCTCTCTTTTATAATTGGAATGTAATGTTAACTACTGAATCAAACTTATCTGACCTAATTAGCAACTCAACTAGAATCTCTAGACTAAATTTAACATGAAGTCAATTCATTATAATAGATTGTTCATTTTATATGTTCATTTTATTTGTTCTCTCTCCCTCTTTCAAGAGTTCTGAAAATTGATATTAACCAAAAAATTAACTTCGAATGGCCTTAGTATACCCATTTCTTCATTATTAATTAATATTCTCAGCTTTTTTTTTGTTATAGTCTGAAGAATCTAAAATAGCAATATAATTTTTGAAGAATGAAGTGGTTTACAGAATAAGGCTATTGTAATTTTAAGAAGTATAAAATTTTAAATTGCCTGCTTGTTTTAAAATAGCCAAAAGTCTGAATCCAAGTTATTTACTATTTGCCACTGTCTACAGACCCAGTATCTTATTTAAGAACTCTATTTTCAAAATTGAATAATACCCGTAAGTACTTTGTGAAGAACCGGGTACTATATTTAGGGCCATATCATATCAATATTAAAAGTAGTAAATCAATATTGTTGTACTCCCGGGTTTTATTTAAGTAACAAGCTAGTAGAAGTGGCCAACTTTGTCAGGAAATGACTGTAAGTAAAATAGTTGCTAGCAAAATAGTTTATACCTTTTTTCAGGTTATCAAGTAATCCAGAATTTATAAAAATAGTTATAAATTTGGTAAACCATTTTTTGGTAAAAGAGCTTTTAGTAATGTATTTTTAAAGAAATAGAATGTCAAAAAAATGTACTATTCGAAAAAATGGTATGTCAGTAAAATAGACATTTACCTTTTAATATTTGGTGAAATAGAAATTGCAGATAAATGACTTATTAGTAAAATTTATTATCAACTATTTTGGTTATTTTGGTTATTTTGGTTTCGGAATTATGTGTTGTTAGTAAAATGGATATCAGTATTATGACTTCACTTTAGTAGAATAGTTTTCAGTATTGATTAGCCTGTAACCAGTTTTAGGTTGTAATTCAAGATTAGTTTATTAAGCTAATGCTGCAAGTCAGAATAGTACATATATGGAAATCAATACTCAGGTCACAATGTAGCAATAGAAATCTAAATATAGATGAGCATGATTAAAATCACTTTCTGCATATAGTAGTTACTAACTTTTAAACAGGATTAATTCAAGTAGAATTAAAAAAAAATACATACGTAGCTTTATTTTAACAAAAGAATAGTTAACTCTGCTAGCTATATTCCTAACTAACTCACCCAATATCCGCATAAAGCTACTAAATAATAAATAAAATAATAAGATTCCAAATATTCTATAATAATATTTTTTTTAATGAGTTTACAAAGCCATTTATCGTTTTTAAATATCTTTGAAGAAACTCATAAAGAGTTAGTTTCTTTAAATTCTGCTTTTAATCAACTTTTAATAACATATAAACTTCAAGAAAATTTAAAAATTGATAATGATAGTAGCGAATTAAATAGTAATTTACTTTTAATTAATAATAGTGAATTAGAAGATAATTCACTATTAATTAATAATTATACTTCAATTTTTAATTTTGATTCCGTATTATCTAAAACACAAATTAATAAATATCGTCAAATTTATATGAAACAACCCTTTGAAGATGAAAAAAATGAACAATTGAATTCTATTGAATCAATTAAACAACAACTAGATAGTCAAGAAGAAGAAGCATACCTTCATCGACTTTTTACAAATAAATACTATACAAATGATTGTTTAACTAAGGTTAATTATGATAATGGATTAATAAAATATAAACAAATTCAAAACTATACGAAGGCTGAATTGAATATATTTTTACTTGCAATGACTAAAGCATTGATAAGAGCACCAGAACAAACAGTAAAAGGAAATTATTCTAAAATATTACATACTACTTTATACCAATTTAAGGGAGTTAAAATTTGTAGAAAAGCATTTTTTTTAATTTTTGGAATAAGTAAAAAAAAAATATAACAATATTCGTGAACATTATAACAATTTTGGTCTTGTACAAGTTGAACATAAATTAAAAAACAAATCTAGTAACCGTGCAATATCTTTTCAATCAGTTTTAAATATTTTAACTTTTATAACAAAT